TAGGAAAGGTAAGAGGAAAAGGGCGTTCGGGTGTTGTGACTGAGTTGATCCGACTGTTCTTGCCTGCTTTCCAATGGTCCAGGCATCCAAACCGTCTTTATACCGCACAGTTCACCTACCTGTTCTCCTCTACACCACCAACCACAATGGCGGGAACTGGTGGCGGACGCACCCTGGTGCACGCCACGAACAAGGCATCTAGTCATCATTTTCCTGTTACTCGCCGGACGACTGCGCAGCATGCGAAGCGTTTTGCTTGGGTAGACAGGAATAAGTTTCAGGGTCTGTGGGTGGGTGCGTTGGTGCTAGGGTGCGTGGGAATGCGTGGCAGTGAGGGGGGTGGACCTGTGCCCACGGGTGGGAACTGGAGCCGCAATGCAATGCACGAGCTAGGGTGGATAAGATGGGCGTGCGCGGCTGATAGACATCCTTGTTGCTGATTACATGGAATCGTGCGGAATCGTGCAACAGCATCCCCCATTGGTGAGTCTATGGGTATACCGATTGCAAAGCAGAGAGAAATGCCGTCCCTCGTGGACATCTGGACAGTGACCGGACGAACGAGGTGTTGACGACGCAGCATTTCTGCCTACCACTACGTATCCTCCCATGCGTCATGACCACACGTCTTCTCTTCACCACTAACAACACCCCACGCTGTTACGATCGGAACGTGTGGAGCCCTCGCCAGCGTACTTTCTCGACAAGCGCGGGACGATTTGCCATTGGTTGGTTATTCGTAACGCACGATACAGTCATACAACATCATCGCGACAAGCATGTTTCCCTACACCAGATAGCGTACCTGCGCAGTGTCCAGACACCAAGAAATCGCATTAACCTTTGCGAGGCAATTCATCCTTTCCCGTAGCTCGCGCTTTTGGGCGACTTGCAGTTTTGAGTCAATTATCGCATCGTCCGATAGTTACTCATCCATCGCGTCACCATCTATCGACGATTGCTGTGCTGCGTCTCGCTTCGTCGGGGCCGTTTTCCATGGATACTCGGCGAGGGCAATACTGGGCGTGCGACACGAGTACTCGCAAGCCATGTGCAAAAGAGCGAACTACTTCTGGGCGACGTTGCAACGTGCCGTTCCAGATTTGGGAGGCCGCCCCATGGCCTTGGGTCGTCTGAAGCAGCGAATAGGGTTGCTTAAGTGGCCGAGAGAGCTGTTTCGAGACCACCGGGGGATACAGTGCATGGCGGAGCGTTTGAGCCTTACCCGCCCATATGCCCGCTGCTTCAAACTGGTGGACTCTGCTACCCATGCCCGACCGTTGGTGCCCGGACATTGGGAATGATCCTGGTTTAGGAACTTTCACACATGCACCAGTCGCGAGACGTGCAGTCCGATCGTGACGGAAATCCGGTACATCTAGCGCACAATGTCCAGCTGCGATGCACCCCAAGACCCACTTGTTGCGAGAATGCGCAGTCGCTATGCCTTAAATAGGCTTAGCTACCGTTGTCATACTCCAGCTTGGCCAGAAGCCTGTCCCAGAAGGTACATGAAGATGCAGGAACAGAGTTCACTTGCTGTTGTATGTGGGCTGAAGACGAGGGCTGTACGCACTAGGACTGTGAGGTCACATTACTAGTCCGCACCTGCGGGACGCACTCGCCTGCTCTTTATCGTGACTGGCTGTTCCGAATATGTCGACCTTCACTATTTGCACGCACGGGACAATGGGCATTCGCAACCATGTCGAAACTCGGACGGCGACATACGCCTCGAAGCTTGACAACGCCTCAATGCGCACTGTCCAGATACCGGTACGCCCTATCGTCACGTTCCCATACCGTTCAGAGCAAAAGAAGTAAGACTTGGCCAATACGACTTGCATAGACGCTCACGTTTGTTCGGCTTCCCGGTCAATTCGGCATCGGAAGAAGCGCCACGTTTTTTGTGACGGAAGGATGCCCACGAGCGAGCCAGCATCACGGCATCCCGACAAACTGGATAGAAGGATTTGCAGCAACACAACAGCGAAAACCCCTGAGGCTATCTATGGACTCCGATTACGATCGGTACCCAGCGCAATGGAAACAGGCGATGGACACTTTGTCAAACTAGGAAATTACGCGATACAGGAACACAAGGCTAACCGGCAGGCATATTCGATCGTACAGCGTAGGTGCAGTATCGCTGTCGACTGTGGAGCCAGGCGATTGGTGCGTTCCTCGAAAACGGAGAATGCGACGCACGCTGAAGGACGACGCCGGCAGTAGCTATCACAATACAATACGACGCATCCACACCACCAGCATTGCACACATCGCCGAGGTTCGTCTTTCACATGAAGGCACACACATCACCGACCCGAAAGCTCTACGCGCCCACCTCGCAGCATATCAACTTGGATCGACAAACGACTGCAAGAATATCTGCAGCTTCGCTTTCCTTATACACAGCCCCAAAAATAGGACCCCAAACCATACCGATCTGCCATCCTTCAAACAAGCGCGACAAGCGCTTGTAGGGCTGACTGAGCCATAACGTCAGCGCATTCACCCGATTTGGTATCTCCGCGTTGCTGTTCAGCTGAGCTCGCTCATTGGCCAGACTTGCAGTAGTACAGATGTATTTTGGGACATATGTCAGCTGCAAGATATCTGCCTATCTAGGACTTATTTGGCAAGATTCAAGTCAGATGAAGAGCCGATTGGGGTTATTTTGGGGTCTGAACATTACCCAACTGGGTAGTCACATGTGGATTAGGAAGCCATGTGTACTCGGTGTTTGGAATAATAGATCAGTCCATCAGCCTAGGTATAGGACCCACTAACGCCCTCGGACATAGATTTGTGACCGCGTCTGCCTACCTGGATCCGACGTAGCAATCATCTTCAGAAAGCTACATCCCCGACGGCTAGATACAATAGCCCGACGCACATCACTAGCCACACCACAGCCTCACCTACGATACCTTCCGCCACGTTACTCAGATTCTAGGCTACGAGGCTCGTCGCCGACCATGTTTGTCGTGCCCGAGACTGAAATGAGTACGCTTCCGCCTTCCGAGTAGTTGCACGATGACGCCTATGGGATCTGCAATGCCACAGCACGCGTGCCGCAAGGCTAGGGACGAGAAATATAGTTCCTTAGAACGTAGGACAACATCTATAATCTTGCCAGGTACCCTGTGTAGCATGCTACGTAGCTTACTGTTCTAGGTTTCATGCACTGCCTGACCGATATCAGTCGTCCGATACGCACGACAAGGCATCAGGGGTCATTGATGCAGTTTCGACTCATGGTCCGTATTCAGACCGCGAGTTAGACACTTTGCCAAGGTTTTTATCGATTTCTAATATATCGGTATTAGCAATCGTGATGTTGGCTCGGAGCGACCGACCCGCACTTGACATGCAGCCTCGTGCTCTCGGGTAAGGCTGACCGATCGGCATTCGATCTACAACTCTTCTACTGAATGCAGAACGAGGCTGACCACACCTCAATAACGTGGGATACGCGGGCAGCAGCTTTAGATTCACGACGACGACGTTGGTAATGCACGAATGTCAAGATACGTAATCTCTTTGATGCTTCTCGGAGAGACCGAGAACGAGTCGCGTTCGTCGCGGTATCATTCCCACGAATCGGAAATAAAGCTACAGTATACATAAGAGAACGCAATTTGTAGAACATTCATGTGGATGAATGAAGATGAAAGAGAAACTAGTCTAGTCATGATTCGTCAACCTGCCTTTACCCATTTCGAGCTGTCGGGAAACGTTCTACTTTCCTGTCCCGTTTGTCGGAAAACGACGCTCTACCTTGTTATCGAACTTGCCGGTCTTGCTCAGCAGCCTCCTTGCACTCTGGATCCTCGAAAGAAAAGACTTTGATTTATGCCGCTGGCTAGCATCAGAATCGAGACACATCTCAAGATATGTACGCAACTCGGATGTGTATTCAGCAAATCCTGGATGACGAGTTTGATACAAGAAGCCCGCAGCGAAGATATCTTTATAGGGACGGTTCGTCATACAATACATAAGCGAAACGATTAATCCAATCTGGTACATGTCAGCCGCTTCGGTTGGTAGAGCGCCTTCTGGAGGCTCATAATCACCAGATATAGCCGGCAGACTCCACCAGGGTTTGGGTTGCGCTGCCATTTCGCTGTCGGTGATGGAGCAGCCGAAATCTGCGAGTTTGATGCGTACTGGGTAGTCATATGGTGACTGCTTGGAACAACCATCGAACTCGTATGGTGAGGTTGGTATGGCGAGAGTACAAAATATATTGGATGGAATTATGTCACGGTGGGAAACAGCATCCCATGTACTAGGTAGAGCGTTGTCAGGTCCATGGTGGAAGTATTTCACTGCAGAAACGAGGGATTCGAAGACTTACCATACAAAATCTTCGGGTATGAGCTCTTCGTTTTGGTTGCAGCGCGTGATGGCATCTAATAGAGTTTTCTTGTCACAGTATTCCGTTACTAGGTAGGGTGTAGCGTGGCGCTCCGTAACTGTGCATGGTAGATGCGCGTCGAAGAAAGAGATTATGTTAGGATGGGATAGTGTTACACGGGGTTAGGCTATACTTCTCTAGGCTCGGTCCGTACTAAGGCGAGGTAGACTAAAGCGGTAGTCCGTGAGGTATCGTATGGAATGATCAGGTGGAAAAGAGTTATCGTTGTAACCAAAGGATAAACAATACCAATTCTATGATAGAATAACTAGTTGACAATCTGTGTGAGAGATGAACTATTTGAGTTGACCACAACGAGTGTAATAATGAAATCCGTCCATCCTATATACCCATTGCAATCTGTCCTTGCCATCATCGGTTTGACCTGCCATCACTGATGGTTGTCCCCACCTCTGATGGTTGCCTTCACTTACATGTCCTGCCATCACTGATGGCTTCGTCTTGGCGTGATGGCACGTCACGTGACCCTAGCCCCGCTATGGATCAGCGACCTTCCATCGTGGCTGTCCCGATGGTCTTCCCTCATGCGACCTGCACGAAAGGAAGCAACTCCTTGTTACCTTGTAACAGATAGGCGGCGTAGAATGCCAATCTCTCGACTCGAACGACCGGGATCCAGGGCTTCTGAGGTCAGGAGCTTCATAATACATTTGTCGCCATTCAGTTTATCGAGGACGAAGAGAATGCCCTGATTACACGAACCCTTGACTTCTGTAAGTTGAGACGTGATGACCCACCGACCATCAACGGTTTGTCCCACAGCGAACTTGTCGCCAGTACATTCCTTGTTCTGGAACTGTAGTAGCCACCTTTTAGCATTTTCACGATCATCCCATGTTTTTGGTGGTTTGTTGTTGAAAACCAGTCGTATGAAATTTGCGAGACCGGGAACATCTGCAGGATCGCCCTCCGAAACTATGAGGTCTGCATGATCAAAGAATTTAGCGACTTCATCATCATTATCGTTCGTTGGAAACTTATAGATCTTCCGAAAGTGACGAAGAGTAAGCTGATCGGGTTGGTCGAGCGAGGGGTCTTCTTTGATGTGGAATTCGGCAAGGCCTAGCATGGTTTCGCAGAATGCTGAAGATTCGTCTTCGTGAGCCGCCGCGCCGATGTCTTTTCGGTCGCACTCTTGGATGCCATCGCAATCTGTGGCGTTCCTGTCTATAGACATTCCTTCCAGGCGTCTTATCAGAAAGCGAATGTATTCACGTAGATGACTACTTGGTACACGGGCTTGTTCGAGGCAGATGGAATCTTCGCGGTGCTGCTGCCAGATCTTATACAAAATGCTTCTGAACACCGTTTATGTACTCTGATGTGTGTTGTTCATTCACTTAGATGAATACCAGTAACACAATGCCGAGTGTCGTTATGGTGAGCGTTCTAGCGTTCGATTTTGACCTGTGCTCGATCACCGTAGACTTTTGGTACATGTTGTCAAAGTGGTCTATAATAACACTACGTGCTGGGAGGATGTCTAATCACTCACGACCTCTTGTTCTATTTCTCTTCATTCATCATCAAGAAGAACGTTTATCATGCACCTTTTCGTCTGTATTCTTCAATATGATATCAAAGGTAATCACTACCAGAACAATGAATATTCGTAAGGATGTTGCAACTAAACCATTCGATGAGATCATAGCAGAAGTCGAAGACGGCATACCTCACCTAACAATGTTTGGCCAGGACGACCTTAAACCCGCACCAAAACGATCACGAAAAGCCCAGAGAGTTGTGATCATACAAATTGGTTATCCGGACGCCAAAGATCATGGTTCAGTTCGGGAATGTCTTCAACTATCCGATCGCCAGACTAGGCGATTTCGGCTGCGCAACGCGGCAATTGGAAACAGAGACGATAGCCCACGAGAATTATCATTGGTCAAAAGAAATGGCATTCGTAGATAAGGAGTGCGAACCACCAGAAGATTAGTATACCACAGAAGCCGCCGGCGTATACCAGATCAGGTTGCTTATGTGCTGTGTAATACAGAACACAGTGAGTCCCTCTAGTTTCGACGAAGAAGCGATACAGCCAGCGAAATTCGACACTTCAAACTCCTTGCACTACTTGCGTGAGCTACGCCACCTCATCGACAGGTACGTGGATGGAGATGAGCAACGAAGTCGGCCCATGGTGGACATGCAGTGGATAAGATGACGTGAGTTGACAGGCCGTTTGTCAAGGCCTAGAGAATGTGCAGAAGAGCACCATTGAAGCGATTATCTCGAAAAGACAACTCAGGTGCTTAACATCTCAGGGATGGTTTTCGACAGCAAGTACCCGATGAATGATTGCATCTTATCTTGCATAACCAAGTTCTAGCTCTCACCGCCTCAGACTTTGGACCTTGTACACCCCATCACCCCCTCTTGAATCTGGCCTTGCTTGCCTAATTCCACTTCTTCGACGATCAGAACGGTGTTCAGTAACTTCGGCGACCTTGTGTTTGCACCAAGACCGAACTACCACCGAGCCAAGGATGCACTGTTCGATAGGACATCATCCGTCGCAAGGTACACGATACTTCCAATCCGATGTGTACAACAAGTGTCTTGGAGTACGCGCGTATGTGGATAGATACGCGTCCATCAGCATAACTTCCGTGTGGGTCAGGCGGGCCGTGTGGGTCTACCCCCGGAGTCAGGCCAGCGGTCCGTCGAAGGATTAGATCCTACGTTGTTATGAAACCTAAAAACCAATGAATGACGATTCTGTTCTTCTCGATAATTTACTGGAGCACAGGGTGTTCAATAGCGACCGGCGTGTTCCGTCATTGTTGCGATGTCAGAAGTGGTGATCTCGAAAAACAGAACGTACAGAATCGCGACATTGGTTGGGCACCCAGAAGAAGGAAGGGTTAGAGCGACAACCATCTTTGTTAGATCTGAACATGCTCGGATACCGCCTCGCGGGGCCGCTGGGGCCACATGGAGATAGGATCGTGGTTGCGAGGGAGCATAGATTGCGCCAGCGATGCTTTCATAGGTGGCCTGAGAGGGGCCAGTAACTCTCAGCTCGAGTCATATCACTGGCTCCAGCGCGTGGTACTCCTTCGATTTCTGACGCGTAGAGGCGAATGCATACTCGTCGTTGCCGTCCGATGATCAAATCTCATCGGAAAGCTACCAACTCACTCCTTCCCCTAACATCCTTCTCTCCCAACGATTTCGCTCCGCGAAGACTGTATGCGGTACAGCGCTGCAGCCCCGTCAATTCTATCAACGAGACATAGCTTTTTTGGTTCCTGGAGGCCTTGTTGTCGGCGATCGCAATCATACGTACAAGAGCCTCCACAAGTAAGTGGAACACCGTCAGTATAGAGTCCGCCGCGAGGCTGGGGCTAAGGATCGACTACCCGCCGCTAGCGCCGCCACCCGTGCGGTACAACCTCGGGAACCATTGATAGCTCTCTATTCCTTCATTACTTGTTGCGATTCAGTCCGCAGCATCAAATTTGCCGTTGCTTGGTCTGTAACAAAAACACCCGGTATCTGTACAAGGTGGAGTGACTGCTGAATTCAATATATGTCCATAGCATTCTTCCACAGAATCATCTTCAATGATTATAGTGTTGCACAGGAGACACAAGTACATTGCCGCTGATGAGCAGTTACAGCCCCAATGTCGTACACAAGGATATGATGCTATCATTATCGTCATCTTGCTGGGACTTCCAAGATTAGGCGTTCTGTCTGTGACGCCTCGGTGTGGAATCTACCATCAAGCGAACACCATCATGGACGCGATCAGCAAATGTTGAACGTGAAGAAAGACTCTACAATAGCTAAAGGCCAAGATAACTGCAGCAGGATGACTTTCTTTGTCCTCTTTCCGGCAGTGACTTGTTGATCCGCGTGGTCCACTGTCACTTCAACTCCACCATTGGGTGCCTTACGATACTGGCAGCGACCTCCCGCACGGAAGACGCCTTAGGCCACCGAGTACTTGACCCTCCTTCAACGTAGTGCAACAACTTTGGGTGAGAGGCTCCGCTGCTGCTTGCCTGAAGACGTCGGAGTGCTGATCGCAAGCCTTCGCGTCGTGGAAGCAGCTGCGCTCTTGATTCTCGAAATTACACCAATACAGCATGACACGGCAGGCCTGCAAAATGTATAAGTATCAGCCTTTTCTCTCTTCGAATGCTCATCACCCAACACAACCTACAAACGTCCAACACATCATCACTCCACTTCCACTTCCACTCCAGACACTTTATCAGTATGTCTCTCCAGCCCCTCTGGCTCTTGCCTGTAGCTGATCCGATGTCTCAGAACTCCAAAATGCAGTTCACTCTTGCCTCCGTCATGATCATTGCTGCCGCTCTCGCACCGGCAGTCAGCGCTTTCTCCGTTACCGTAAGCGTCTTTTTCAGAATCTCGATAGCTCCTCTTCTTTGCGCATAACCTCTGCTGACTTGATATTCTCATCTAGAACTGTGAGACCGGACAATACAAGAACTACGGCGCAAACGGAAACAGTGGCTGCAAGGGTTTCACCACTGGTAACAGGGTTGCCTACGACAGCAACAAGGGTCTCACCCTAAGGGTCTTTGGATCGACCGACTGCCAGGGTGATGCTATCAAGGAGATCTGTAAGTCTCTATTTACCAAAGCGATACAAAACATAGGCTGACTCTGAAACTCCTTTGTAGCTCAGCAGAACACTTGTGTCGACGTTGGCTTCAACGGACTGTCCGTCGAGGTCTTCTAGATCTGGAGAAGCGTCTCTACTAGCGAGAATGAAGGGGAGTATCATGTTTCCAGATAGGGAAGAGACTCGGAGGCGACGCTATCCAACATAGCCTAGCCATCCACCGTGTATCTTAGCTATCCGGACTACTATAGAATGGTCATTCGTTCATTTACATATCCGCCCTAGTCTTTCCAGTGATCCCTTTCGACAGACGTTTCTTTGCTTCTACTTTGGCGTCCACAGCCTGGCTTTGATGCGGTGACTTCCGACAAGCAAACTGCGAAAAGAACTTACACCCGCGTTTGCAGCTAACAGTTGTTCCATCTCTGCACCACTCGTTGTGCGAAAGTGCTAGAACATTCTTGAGGTTGCGCTTTACTGATCAAGGACTCCACAAGTCATGCAACGCAGGTGGCGCACTCAGGCCAGAGCTGCACGGCGCGATTGTTATGCGACTGTTTAGACCGCCTGGTCAATGGATACCGCTATTCAATACAACACGCCATCGCAATAGCTAGTCGTTTGGTGTTGAGAGCTCGGGGTCTTGCGCTGGAGTGTTGTTTTGCGAGTGCATGCTAGCAGTCTAGACTTTCGTTGGCGTTCATTCGAGGCGACCACAGAAGCCGGTACATATGCCTAGGTGTCTCCGATGTCCGAATTGTGAATAAGGCATCTTGATGGAAGTCGTTGTAGCTGGCAGACACGTGACAATCGCATCATTATCGGGCCGATACTGTAGGTTCCTGAAGGATCTGTGACACGGGAATAACACTTAACGTTAACACACGGCGCTGCCCAGGGCCATTTCCTGACCCCACAAACAGCTCATTCATCGAATAGCCTAACTCGATCTCCAGGCACCCCAATAAAAGGCCGATCTAGACCTGTGTTTCGCCTACATCTGCCGAGGTATCGCTGCCGAGCCTAGCTTGTAGCGTACCTCGATGACGTTATTATGGATCGTTACCGGACGAGCCCGTGGTCGTCATTGTTTAGCAACCATTCCATATAACCGCTTAGAAATGCGAAAAAGTTGAAGCACTAACACATTACTTATAGACCTTTGTTGATCGCGCATTCAATCTCAGCATATTCTCCAACACACATCTTGCAAACCTTGATTTCATTTACTCACGACATCTCTTTTTTGTTAGATACCCATTCAAATTTCAGCAAACATGGCACCGCGACGATACGAAGCAGAGAAGGTAGACCCCGCGCCATTGGGCAAGCCTCTCGACTTTGCTTTCTCCAAGAAGACTGCTCAGAACCGATTTCTCAAGGGTGCTATGACCGAGCGTCTATCATCATGGGATCCCCAAAACCTCGAAGCTCGTGGTGTCCCGTCCAAGAACCTAGTCAACGTTTACCGAAGATGGGGTGAGGGTGAATTTGGTGTCATCCTGACCGGTAACATCATGATCGAGTACGACCACCTAGAAGCTGCCGGCAACCCCATCATTCCCCGTGGCTCAAAGTACGAGGGTGAGCGGTTCGAGATGTTCAAGGAACTTGCAACTCAGTCGAAGAAGCACGGTTCTTTGATTGTTGGACAAGTCAGCCACCCTGGTCGTCAGGTAGCCGACAACATCCAGAAGAATCCCATCTCCGCATCCGATGTACAGTTGGAAGGCAACGTCATGGGCATGACCTTTGCTAAGCCCCGCGCCGCAACCGACGAGGACATCAAGAACGTCATCGAAGGTTTCGCTCACGCAGCCGAGTACCTAGAGAAGGCTGGATACGACGGTATTCAACTCCACGGTGCTCACGGCTACCTACTTGCGCAGTTCCTTTCCCCAACAACCAACAAGCGCACCGACAAGTACGGCGGATCCCTCGAGAACCGTGCCCGCATCGTCACCGAGATCGGCCAGGAAGTACGCAAGCGCACATCATCCAACTTCGTGCTTGGCATCAAGTTGAACTCTGTTGAGTTCCAAGACAAGGGTTTCGGCACCGAGGAGGCTGCGACTTTGTGCAAGTTGCTTGAGGACAACAGCTTCGACTTCGTCGAGCTGTCTGGTGGTACATACGAGAAGCTTGCTTTCGGTCACCAGCGCGAGTCAACTAAGAAGCGAGAAGCCTTCTTCCTCGAATTCGCCGAGAAGATCACACCTTCGCTCTCCAAAACCAAGACCTACATTACTGGTGGCTTGAAGAGTGCTGCCGCCATGGTGGACGCATTGAAAACTGTCGATGGTGTCGGACTTGCCCGCCCAGTGTGCTTGGAGCCCGAGTTGCCTCGCCAGATCATCAACGGCGAGGTTCATGCTGCGATCGACCAATTGACCGACGACAACGACTTCGGTATGACCAACGTCGCGGCTGGCACACAAATCAGGCAATTGGGCAAGGACCACCAGCCTATTGACCTGAGTGACGAGAAGAACTTTGAGGCGTTCAAGAAGGACATGGGTACTTGGGCTCAAGGCTTCTCAGACGACAAGACCGGAAGCAAGTACGGATACGCCGACATCGAGAGTGTTCAGCCCACTCCTTACGGCTCCGCTGCACCTGCCTCATAAACGTAGGTTGCATCAATAATGTGTAAATAAATAGATGAAATAGAAACGAACTGAACGACCAAGATCAATAAGTTGCTGTGTCCATTGCAAGTCAAACACCCAAGTCCACTACTAGCAATCCATTCAGGACTGCATCGCCTACTCCGGAGTCGGAGTGATAGGTCTTTCATGATACTCCTGTTCAAGAATCTCCCTAATAACCTCAACTCTCCATCTCTGCGTCTTCCTCCCCTCGTCTTTCTCACTCAACACAACCTCCCTCCTATCCTCCCTCTCGCCAACATCCAAGACTTTCAACACACCACTCGCTTCATTCCCAATCCACCACGTACCATCTTCCCACTGTCCGACACTCCAGTCCAGCGCATTTGCTGTATCAGTAGCGTCCGCCCGCCTCAGCACCGCTTTCGACGTGTCATCTTCGTAGACATCGAGTTGCCGGTTTGGCCCCAGCCACCATGTTCGGATGCGGTAGGTGTTGGAGGTGGAGGTCGTATCTCTTGATGGCTCGCTGGCTTGGGGAGGGAAATGAGGTGTACCTGAAGGGGTGAATGACCAGTATTGGCCAGAGTAGTACCCTTCGCGAGTTAGTTTGAGGAGACCGGTACTGTTTTGTCTGCCGGCATCATTTATGACGTCGAGGGTGGGGTTTGAGGGGTTCGAAGTGTTTGTTATGCGGTGGAAGTGGTGTGGAGAGAAGGGCGGTTGTGATGGGGTTGTCATTTTGGATGGCAGTGGAAGATGGTGATGAGAACAATGGTTGGTGACGAATTGAGAGAAAGTGAAGACATTTGGAGCATCGTGAGTTTTATGCTTGAAGTATGATGATAGCTAAAGATCTGTTGAGTGAACTTGGAACTTTCAGGTGGTCATTTGCTTAACAGATCGTATTTGCCGTCCTGTGGCGTTTAGCACGAGACATACAAAACGCATAGAACATTGCCCTATCACAAGGTTACAAACAAGCCAAGAAAACGACCGATTGGGGTATTGGATAAACTTTTCAGGCAGCCAGGGACAAGATCAGGGGAGTGCGTCGATCACTTGACCAGCTGACTGTCAGCCACTAGGCAAGGACCTCATTAGTGTCCCAATTGCGGCTGTTCATGTATTTTGTTGGGACATATGGGGATGTTCGTGACCCGACAGCATAATTGTTGAGGCCGTGACGAAACGAAAGAACAGGGAGAAGATAATGGAAGATGGTTGAGAATACATAAGATGACGTCATGCTCGATCATTGAATAGAATTATTTGTCTTCACAGTCAGACTGTGGCAGTTATTCTCGATAACACATGCCATGACTAGGCTCATCTCCAAAGACATTGCGATATGAATATAGTCGATATGTTCGCATGTATAATCTCAAGGAAACCCGCAGTACGACTCTTCGTAATCGAGAATCAATCCATTCCTACTAGTCTTCCGTCCCATCCTGGTTCTTGCCGTCATACAGGATCTTCCTTGGCTCTTTCTTCAGTCCATCCCACATCTCTTTACTGTAGTAACCAAAGCAAACATCACAATCCCCGCATTTCCCGCAGCCTTGAGGTTCCCTGCGGCCGGTATACACATTGAAGACCCAATCCTCCGGTCTCTCACCCCATGGTCCAGTCTTGAGGTCGTACTTGTCAGGCGCCTCAGGAAACTCGATCTGGTGGATTGGCTTGTTCCGATTTGTGAGTGTGTGGAGATCGACGCCACGCTTCCTTGCTGTTTCGATCGCGCGGCGGAACCAGATCTTATCCTTTTCCATGGGTTGAGATGGGCTCTTTATTCCACTCAAGTTTGCGCTGTGCTTCTCTACATCTTCCAAGTACATGGCTAGTGTGCAAGACTCGGGTCCGAGGGCAGCTATCACCGCATCTTCAAAGCCTTGTTCCTCAGTCGGTTCCCATTGAACGTAAAAGTTACCAAGCGACCCCCAAAGAACTATTACCTCGTACTGCTGCACACATTCGAAAAAAGTGCGTTCGGCAAGCGCTCCATCGCTTTCCCACTCTTCTCTATCGCATTTTATATTGTAGAGGGCTTCGAGTTCAAAATCTGCAATGTCCATGCAGACATGCTTCAAAGCTCTGTGATCGTTGAGCTCTTCCGGACGGAAGGCGCCGCAGCGATAGCCATGAATACTACCATTAGAGCCATAGCCGTAGAACATCAGGCTTTCGAGCGACTGTCCTTGACAGCTGCCTAGACTGCCGACCCAATTGTCGGCGTGTTCAAGTAATGCATCGCCGGCGCGAAAACAGGCTGTTTGGAGGGCTGACGGGGCGGCCACAAGAGCATTGAGAGGCTCGCTGTTTAGCTCGCCGCAATTGTCCAGGAAAAGATGTTTGATGCTGGAAGCTCCGGCTGGTACTAACACTTCCCAAGATACATCATCGTCACTGGTGTCCTCGAGGTCTTTGTAATATAACCTTTCCAGGTGAGGTAGACGCAGGAATTGTACCAGTATCCCTATGCTGTTCAGAGGCTCTGTGTTAGGATGGAAGGCATCGTCCATCCAGGTCCCTGAAGGTAGGCCGACCGCGGCTGATTGTAGGTTTTGTAGTCCCGGGCCCCAAGAAGTCTTCTTGTTATGAGAATCGTTTATGAAGGTGTCAAGCCATCCAAGACAAGAACATGTTTCGACCTCGTGACGTGCTGGCAAGACAAACTTGACATCTCGAAGTCTCGGACAATGAACAATAAGGAGGGCTTTTAGGTAAGTATCATGCCCGTCCAGGATTTGCGTACGTGCTTCATCGATACGCCGGGGTAGAAGACGACCCTGTCCCTGCTCCAGTCGCTCTAAATAATCGTCGATTTCGCCAGGTATGAATTCCCACGCTATCGGCGACTGCATACTCTGATCGACGGGTGTTTCAAAATCGAGCGTTTTCCACATGTCCCATCCTCTGCGGTCGTACCAGACTTCTAAGGATCGAACGTGCCATGCTAGAATAGGGTCACCGTATCCAAATGCGCTTCGAAGGAGAGTGGGAATCGTAGCGGGGTCAATATCAGACGCAACACCGTATTTCAGCTGGGCGTCGCGATGGCGCTTGAACACGTCCGTGGAACATGCGTATAAATGTTTGCAGGAACATGCGAAGTCGATATGGGATGCGGGGGGTATAAAATCGATTATACGATGAACGAGTTCAGTCGCAAGATTGGTGAGAAAACATGTATCGTCGGTATTGACTGTGTGCACGTCGCTCAGGTTGGATGGATGTGAAGGCAGTGAGGCGGTGAAAGGAGCTTTAGCTAGTTCGTCCATGTTGCAGTATGGAAGATCTACGCGAGTAAACCTATCTCGCTCGAAGACACGAGCATAGACATACTTTATACTGTCGTGAAAAGGTAACACGAAGCACGAGGCGTAGTCTGGAAGTGGTGCCCGTAGCTCGAAGTTCTAGGCGCCCTTCTGTTGCCTTCGGCTAATGGCATGCTAATTTCCGCCAGCGCTTCCAGCCGCGTTTTGTAGCTTGCACACGAGTAATGCGACCCTTATGAATGCCGGATTAGCAAGTTGTTGAAGCACGTCACCACAAGACCATGGAAGTACTTCTACGGTGGACAACGACGTGAAAGTGTGTTGAAAGTTGAGCTCTCGCGAGAAATGGTATCTAGTTCGTGACTCGTAAGCGTGGTGCGGGTACCAAGGTCAATTTGCTATGCGCTGTAGGAGCTGATGAAGTACTGAGTGAATGTCAGCGTGGTGGATGAGAGCATGAGAAGTGCAACGTACCGTCAAGACTGACTCGTCCTCGCCATTATCGTTGGGCAAGTACACGTAGAGAATGAGTGCATGCTCGTGACAGAAGCCTTTTGGAGTATTAGCATGCTGGTAGAAGTGGGCTTCGTGAAACTTACAAGCAATGACCCGTCCGCCCAGTCTGCCCACACTCATGACCTTGCCCCAATCCCGCCCGTCAATCCTCACTGTGGCCCACCCTTCTTCGCTACGCCCATCGGCCGACCCTAGCTGCTTCATACGCGTGCTTGGGTGTTCAGCAACGCCGTCCTCGCCGCCAGCGACGTGGCCAGGGTCTAGTTCCGGGTTGCTGAGATCGGTCCAGATGGAAGATATGTTCATGGCGTCAGATCTGATGCTTATCTTGAGGCATCCGTGCATATTGGCCGAGACATCTAGGCGGGTTCTCGCTGCGGTCGTCGCACTACTTGCTTTGGTGGTGTCTGCCAGCGCTAGTTTGGTGAACCTGTCGCTGATGCTTTTCAGTTGCATCAAGGGCGGCAGTATGATGTGCACGTCCGGCTCCCTGCAGACAGGCTCATGCAGATGGGCTACCGTATCCGGAGCAAGCACACGTATAGGTATCTCTTGCGTGATGATGGTCTCGCGGTTGCCTCCACCGAATTCGTTGTCGAAGGCGGCATCGAAGCCATCGTCATCGTCGTCGCCGTACTCATCGTCGTCGTCATCCTCATTGGTTGAAGTAGTAGGGAAGGCGCTATACGTGTTCGAGGACGGGGTAGTGGTGACGGTAAGAGCGAGCACGGGCAGGTTGTCCTTCTTGGTGAGGCGTATCTGGGCCGACGTGGCATTGAAGGCCGATTTGAGGGCGCGATTCAGCGACGCGAGCGGAACTTCGAGGTTGATGACATTATCTGCAGCCGACTGCACGCTGATGCTCTCAAAGATGGAGTCCTGCGCGGCGCGTTAACCTCCACACGGCCAAGACGAGACGATATGCTTACAATTGAGAGCACACTACACTTGGTTAGAACGAGCGACACCAAGATACGAAGCGTCTACTCACGCCCATACTTGTGTGCCCTGCTCTGGTATGATGGTGAAGCATACCTGCTCCTCGCTGAGCTTCACCCACGCGAGCGGGCCGAGCGAATTGAGCGACGCTGTAAGCTCTACACGGTGTCAGCTGCCATCTCACGTATGAGGCACGTGTACCTGCTCGTAAAGGTTGTAATGTTCTGTATTGACGCCTTGAAGCGCATCTTTGCGTTGTCGTCGCACAATGCAGACGGGATGTCGCGACGCGTCGAGAAATGTGGAGGGGAAAGCCGCCCAAGCGAACGTCATCGCTGCTGCTTCACCAACGCCATCATCAGCATCATCATCATCATCACGTCTTCTTCTATCATCGTCATCGCGGATTAGTACTTCGATATCGCATGCATTTCTCCAGGCCTAGAAACATAATATGTACATGGCATATTCTCAACCCGTCTATTCGCCACTATGTACGGCGATACAGCGATACAGCAACGTCTAGTTCATCTCTCGGCCATGGTCTCCCTAAACCGTCTGTCTCTGCACCGAGATACCAGTGCTTGATATTGTCGTCTTCGAATACATCTGCCCAAACATTAGCCGAAGTACACGAAGTAACACGCACGACTAACCTGTCCACTGGTTCCTTGTATCTCATATCTTCCTGCGCCTGAGATCGGAACGCTCACGCCGCTCTTGGTCGTCGCAGTCACCGCAGTGAATGATACCGTCCCGAAGTTTGGTGTGGCCACCAGCTGACCTGGAATTACTTGATATGCCTGGACGAACCAGTCTGCCGCAAGAGCAGTTAAAGCGGATGGGTCCACGCCGGAAGGGGCTGCGAATGTCTGTGTCGTTCTTTTGTTCTGTGTCTTATTCTCGATGGTCACTGTACCCCCAGCGGTAGCCATGTTGACAGTTACAGTGATTGAGTTACCGTTTGCAACAGGAACAGTCGAAGTGGTGTCTGTCACTGGACCAGGAAAGTACGCAGAGAAGCTCTTGAGGGTACTGTTATAAACAATACCACCAGCAAGGACGTTATCCTGCTCAAGTGTGTCACCAATGCCTACCCAGATCGAGAGTCGATTGGTGCCTGACAGGTTCGGCACTGTAAACTGTACATGTAGTTGGTACACAATCACATACAGCATGGGAGCAACTCACAGTCCCTGTGACGGTCGCAAACAAGTCGCCTGCTGGTGCTTTGAGAACAGCACCACCCCGATTCAAGTCAAACGCGGCAGATGCGGCCGACACGCAGCATGCCAGGAGAGCAGCGGTTCTCATGGCTAACTCAGAGCTGTCCAGTAAGGAGAAAAAATGTCGTGTAACAAGCTGTCCAATGAAAAAGAGATGGGAAGGCTTCTAAAGTCGAGCAGCAGAAGAATTCGGTATTCCAGAAGGATATCTGAGATCTCAGAGGCTCTAGCTGACAGCACCACATGGACTATATTACTTTCAAGGAAGCGTACCCGGTTGATCAAGTCTCCCACCTTGCGATCAGATCCATTCTACTCAAACAGCCTGTTCTTTTGACCTGCCGTTCGCCCAAGCCATGCAAGTACCCTCCTTTGTCGTCGTTCACTTTCCTCAGCTGGGCGCCCTGTAATGGTCCAATGAGCATGCGCAAATCATCTATAACGTGCCAAGAATCCCGTGCGAGTGGCATGCATTGATGAGGTACGGGGCCTGAACAATTAAAAGAATTGGGGATACTGGTACCCCACAACTTGGCGTGGCGGCAAATGGGATAGATTGAGGCTCGTGGAACCTTGTCTCAACGTCCACGAACATCATCCAGCCAAAATACCAAACAACCAGTCATCGCTTCCTTGCCACGTGGGGTGTCGTTGTACAAGTGGGGCGTTACATGTTCCGCTATCCATCGATGCAACTGCCGACGAGATGTCAAGACTTGCGATATTCGACAAATCTCGGAGATCAACATCACTGGAGCTGTCCGGGCTCGAGGAGGGGTCATTTCCAATCACAGTAGCTTTGTTGCCGACTAAATGCGTCACGTTCATCATCGTAATGAGACTGTGCGAATTGCCCCAGCCGATCACGAAGTGCACTCGATGCCACCAGAAGTACCATGACTGGCATGGTTGCCCGATACGATAGGAGGAATAGGCATGAGTGGATGATGAGCAATCGGGAATGACAATTAAGAGACGTTGATATGTATCGAACCCATCCATGCGATGCCAGCATGTATCCGCGTCCAACTCAAGGATCCATAATTGCCCTAGCTCCATCCCAACACGAGATAATGCCCATTTTGATTTCTACCAAGACCGGATTATGCCTTTGCGACACAGCATACCCGCTCGGCGTTACCACCCCTGATCCCGGTGACATCGTATGCATATCTCACGCGGCTGTATAAGACGTGCTATACTCTGCGCACAGCTGTACTTTCATTTTGCTATCTTCCCTTACAGCTCACCACTCTCTTCAACATGAAGGCGTTCACTGCTACCGCTCTGGCGCTTGCCGCACCTGCAACTGCACTGCTGCGCTTCCCATGCGCTCAGCTAGTCATCGACAGATTGGATCCGCTGGTCACACCTGGCCAGGCTCCATCTCCTCACTTACATCAAATTCTGGGGGGTAACTCTTTCAATGTTACCATGGACCCGGAAAAGGACATGCCAGGGGAGTCGACATGTACATCTTGCCAGTTCAGCGAGGACTTTTCCGTAAGCAATACTACTCACACCTCGACATGTCTGGGCCAATCTGACGAGCCCATAGAACTACTGGACAGCCGTGCTATACTTCAAAGCCCGAAACGGCACATACAAGCGCGTTCCTCAAATTCCCAACTCAGGCTTCAACGGCGTCAACGGAGGCATGACAGTATATTACATGCAAGATGGGCTTTACAACTTCCAGCAAACCTCCAAAGTCCAGGCCTTCCAGCCCGGCTTCCGCATGTTCATTGGCGACGTGAATGCCCGTACCAAGGAAGAAGCCGAGCGCTTCCGCCAATTGACATTCACTTGTCTAGACAACATCAATACGCGTGATCCGCAGACTCTTGATTTCCCCACCCAACCATGCAAGACGGGCATCATGACCGCAGTTCGCTTCCCCACGTACGTCATGCTCATCCATCTATCCGCCTTTGTGGTCCTACTAATACCCCACCTAGCTGCTGGGACGGAGTCAACCTTGATTCCCCAGATCATATGGTGAGACATGTCCCTTCACGAACTGAATATGAGACATATACTGACTTTGTATACCCACATCTTAGGCACACATGAGTTACCCCGAGTTCGGCTCCTTTGAATCTGGCGGTCCCTGTCCCGCCAGTCATCCCGTACGCATGGGTCAACTCTTCTACGAAGTCATCTGGGTACGAGACATCCCTAGACGAACTGTATCTGAGGGCATATACTGACTTCGTACACGTATCATTGTAGGACACAAGCAAGTTTAACAACAAGGCTGATTGGCCTGAGGATGGTAGTCAACCATTCGTCTGGAGTTTCGGCGATGGGTAAGCCCTCGTTACGATTCGTGCAAGAAAATGCGGCCACTAATGTTCGATGTTTGTCGATTAGGACGGGTTACGCGAACCACGGAGATTACCTGTTCGGCTGGCAAGGCGACGCGCTCCAACGTGCTCTTGACTCGCCTTGCTATCAGAACTGTCCTACGCTTAAGACGCAGAATGCTGCTGCGATGAACAAGTGCACGGTTCCGCGTGTCGTGAAAGAAGAGATTGATGCTTGGGTTAGTGAGCTACCCGGTGGCCACCAGGCGCAATATGTCAGGAAGCGGTGGGCTGAGTAAATTCGATACCCGTTCATGAAGTAGACAGCACCGAGACATTTCAGGTGGGAGTTAGGAAATTATAACTATTGACTATGACTGTAGGAGCTATCTGAGTTTGTAGAAACGATACGTGCAAGGCGCGCGTTCTTGGCGTCTTTTCTTGCCTTGCAGAACATAAAATGATGTGTGTAAGAAAGAGATGGTGATGATGATGGTATATGACTCCGGCCGAAAACGGCACCGCCGCGGTTTGAGACGCAAAATGGTCTTCAAGGAAAAAGTCGCTGTCGATAACAAAGGAAAATCCGTGATGGGAAGATTTCTCACGATGCGCGCGCGATCCACTCTCCAGAGTTGAGTCGCGAATGAGCCGGTCGAGCGCCAGCTTCTTGTCTATGGAGACTGCATTTCGCGCTGCCACGTATGCGTATCACAGTGACCTCGCTCGAGTCTGCTTCAGCCTGCATACTCGCGTCATCCCTTGCCCTTGGCGCTGGGCATGTGCATATGTCTTCAGCTCCATCTACCTCTACGTCGTCGTCTTCGAGGTATATTGTTGGTGCAACACTGCTTCCTCCATCTTCGCTCTTATCCTCGGATGAGCCTAGCTCCTTGTCCCAAGTCCCATGACTACCGTGTCTCTTCAGGCCTAAGCTCTTCACAATCTCCTCAAGTTCCACTGCGCTCACTCTGACTCTTCCACTCTTTTCTTTTTCAAAATCGGCTTCAGAGTCTTTGTGTGAGTCTCCACTGAGCTGTGACCAGTCACTCACTCTACGTGTGTGTGTGCTGACTGTTGACGCGGAGAAGCGTGACGATGGCCCTAGTTTCGTTGTCTTACGAGGAGGGCTGGACCGTGTCGACGGAGCCTCAATGTCAAAGTCGAGATTTGATTCGTCGTCGTGGAAACGCGATAAGCTGTGGTTGCCTTGTTGAAAGTGGGAGGGGAAATAGGCTGTGTCGGGCCTGTAGATGACTGTCTGACCTGAATAGCGGGAGTTGTAAGAATGGTTTGTTTCCTCTGGGTAAGTCTCGGAGTAGCTAGGAACTACCTCGTCGACATCGCCATGGAGTAGGTGAACGGTGCTACCGGCTACGGGGCCGGAGATGCCAACGGAACGTGGAGCGTCACGGGCAGCGTCAGCGGGACTGCGAATTGCTCTACCGAGAGGCAACAAGGTGCTAAGGTTAACAGCTATCATCGCGGTCAGGAACTCGCAAATTCCCCACGTGGTGAAGTTCAAGTCGAAGTTGTTACGATAGCCGACCTCGGCCCATGACGTGACGACCATCCAGGTTCTGATGATAGCTGCCGCGCATGCAAAGAGTCCCAAAGATACCACCGCAAGAAGATGTAGGGTAGATCCGAGCTTCAACGAAGAGCTCACGGCGATAGGGATCGTGAACAAGATCAATAGCAGACTTGATGCAGCAT